TTAAAAAGACTTGCATGGCTCTATTTGAGACACCCTGTGAAAAGCTAAATTGGTGTATATGTCACATGATGTCAGGTCTCGTGACATCAATTTCACCAGTAGATGTATAGCAGAAAATGAATAAGTGTATAGGTCTCGGGACGTCAGGTCACGGAACATAAATTTTCCCCCTAAATTTAGTGCGGAAAGGGAACTGGTGTTTAGGTCACGTGACATCAATTTCCCCCTCTAAATTTAGCTGCAAATGCTCTGATGGATGGACGGATGGAAAATCTTTTAAAAACCAAATCATGCTTTAATATACTGTCCTTAGGCCTTCCCAAATGAATTAACAATTTAGTGCATATGTTTTCCTGGTACTGCTCCAGCATCATTCGAAAAACATAAATGTTTGCGCCTTACGTCCTCGTGGTCCATCATCATCTGCTTTCTGGTTAGCTTGGGCGTGACAAAATTCTTCATTAGCTTTTTTCGGGAATGATTCATATTTTGAATAGTGTTTTATACCTTCTTTGCGTGCTATTAATGGCAAATTCTGTGTTGCAAGCTGAATGACTTTCCTTTCGAGCGGCTTTATCTAAATATTTATACGCCTCTTACTTCGCAATTAAATGGATTATTGAACTTAAAGTGCGACTCCGCTGTTTATTGTGCTACCCAGAAATACCACACTTTCTTAAGAGTCGAACATTGATCTTACCAGCTTGCAATTCGGTATCTCAAAATTTAAAATAAGTCTATAAATAAAAAATAAATAAAAAAAATATTACGATGTAAAATTCAAAATTATATTTTTGCGTGTTTCCCAGCAGAGCTACGTCACTGGCAAATAAACTTGTTTTATGAGGAGGCAGTCAGGAACACAGTATTTCGTTGATTTCATCTAATATGGATAAGCGAGTTATGAAATAAGTTTCAAGAGCATTTATTTCACGCCATCTTACTTGATGTTATCAGTTTCTTGTAGGATTACAGATTGAAAAAATAAGGACAAAAACTAAGAAGTAAAAAAAAAAACTGCGTCAAAATTTATATTCTGCTACTTGGGTAACTTGTTCATATATAACTTATGTTACAATATTTGTGCAAAATCACCGATTATGAAAATGATGGACTGCTCTTCTCACGTGCAATACAGTTTTCCATACCGAAATAAAATTTCGAGGAAAATCCTTTGCGCCTCACAACACGTTAAATTTCAAAAGCCGTTTTAACCGATTTGCAGTACAAAGGAACGGCATTGGCATCAGACGCTTACATACTCTCTGGACAACGCTTACTCTACTTCACCAGGATTTTTCAGAAGAAGAAGAAAACCGACGGTTTATATTCAATTTCTGACTTGCTGTAGGCAGCGGCATAATTTTTAAATTTTTATGAGACACAAGCAACCACAGCTAGTATCTGTGGCGTTTACTTGTTCTCCTGATATTCGTCCAGCCTCGGGGGGGGGGGGGGGGGGGGGGCGGGGGGGGGGGGAGGAGGTGTTTTCTGTTTTCAGTCAAGTTTCACATTAGTACGTTCTGGTTACTTTCATATACATTTTACTGTATCATAACTTCCGTTACACTTACCAATATTTAAATAGAGAGCCTTGCCTTTGAACGGCTCCAGAACAGTCATGTCTTCCTGAACAGCTGGAATAAAGTCATGATGTGACTTTGAATGTTGCATATAATAGATGCCTTATCCCTTTCACAATGATATTCCTTCTGGTATATGTTCACCACATATATTAGAGCGCAGCTCTTAGGTGCCCGTTTCCGGCTTGAGCGGCGTCGGCGTCGCTGTCGGCATAACCAAGGCCACCCCAAGGTCACGTGACCCCCCGAGGTCACCTCAAGGTCACGTAACCCCCCAAGGTGACCCCCACGTGACCCCCCAAGGTCACCCCAAGGTCACGTGACCCCCCTCCCCCAAGTGCTGATTGTTGGGCAAGTTGGTATGGTACGTTAGAAAACATGATTGCGCTTTGAAGCTGATTGTTGGGCAAGTTGGTATGGTACGTTAGAAAACATGATTGCGCTTTGAAGATTGCGCTATGTCCCCGTCTTCAAAGCGCAATCATGTTTTCTAACCCCCTCCCGCCCCCCGAAGTCACGCGACACCCCCCCCCCCCCCGCCCGAGGTCACGTGACCCCCTCCCCCCGAGGTCAGGTGACCCCCCCGTAGCATATTAAAGAATGAGGGGAGGAGGAGGAGATGGAGGAGGAGGCGTCTACCCTCCCCTCAGTACCCTTCCCTCCTACTCCTCAAGAGCTGCGCTCCAATTCGGCGTTACAGGGAGTTGTAAACGACTTTTTATTCCTAGTTCATTTAGGATTTTATTTAGCTGAGTGGACTACTTGCAAAAGCTTTTTGTTCCGGTACTACACCTAATAAAATATTTTGCCGTATACTCTACGCATCATCCACAAATAGGCGAGCATACCCTTTACTTTTAATAATTTTAAGCTGCGTTTTCAATGTGTTTATTTACAATGCGTTAACTACACTTTTTTTTTTTTAAATAAGCCTTCAGGGGCCTACCTTGTTAGCGCAAAAACACTTTTAACGCTGGGTAGCATTAGGAAGTTCGTGTCGCGGAAAGTCTGGCCTCGGCAGCGTGGCAAAAAGCCGGCGTCTGTGGCGTGACGCAAAACTTCTGATTGGTCAGTTGGGTTATGAAGTCACAGCCACATAATCTTGCACGGAAATTTCAAACAACCCACAGCGTTCATATGAAATGTGCCGTCACACGTTAAATGAAAGTGATTAAAAACACGACATGTAATATGAATTAAATGTCGTCAGATGTCTCAAATGGTTTCACTTTAAAAAGTAATTAACGTGCTTTAAAGGAAAATGTAAGGCATTTTAGGTGGAATTCGAAACCGCGATCCTTTTGTTGCGAGCCAGACACGCCACTGACTAGGCCATGTCCGCCGCATTTTCTGCTTACTGGCAGGAAGAGCATGAGAAGCGATTGAGAAGGCGATGCGAACAGGGGCAATATAACGCTATCGCTCGTGCCACTCTTTTGATCTATCTATACATATATTTAAACATACGGCATAATTCATAATGAACATTTTGTTTGTAGACAGATATGGATATTTAAATTTCTATGTCCTCATTCAAATTGGTGGTATCAGCAATATTTGTCCTTTTCTCCGCAATTTTCCGATGATTTTACTCACTGTCCGTCTCAAGTTTTCCTACGCCGCTTGATTCGTCGTAATTTCCTGTAAGTTGGCCCCTGGAAAAATGTTTTAATTGATTAGGCTACTAAAACAAAAATGGGATACCAAAAACTGCAATTCATAACACATATGATTACCCTACTTTGTGTTAGAACAAGATAAGGGCTAAAAGAGATACAAATGGCTGTACATAAACCTTTTAAATCATCTCCGCAATATTTGTTTTTAATTCCGGAATAAAGGCGCAGCAGTAATGGAAATTCAAAATAAAATTAACTTGATAGAAATTTATTTTGGTCATGCTCTTTGATTTAGAAAGAATACATTTTTTGACGGTGTTCAGAGATATGGTGTTCGGAGCAACGGGTTCATTGACCGCAAGCTGAAAGCGCGTGCTGCCTAGCCAGCCTCCGCTTCGTCGTCTTCTAACACTTCCCCCCGGGCGGGTAAAGGGACGGTCCATCAGAAGTAATGTCCTTAGTCGTTTGGGGCGTAGAGAGGATTGATACGTGAAATATGAGGGATATCACGTGACTATGTGCGGCGATCGGGTGGAGGTGTTACTGGCTTTACATCGTAGCTTGTAGGAAAGATGGGGCGGATAATTCAAAACGGACCCATGTATTTATGGAGAGTCTTTTTTTGTACATTGACCTTGTTTACGGAGCGGTGCGACGAGAACTTCATCCCCAGCTTCGTAAAATGCTTCGCCATGAGTCTATGAGTGCCGGAGTTTCTTTGTGCGAAAATAACTGAGTCGTGCGAATTTAGAGCCAAGCTCCCGAATAGTCGCCATTTTGTCTCATGAAATGAGAAATTTCTCCTTCACCTTTTCATTCTTGGTGAGCCGATCTAAATATTTGCTGGTCACAGGTAGATTTATGGAGAATTTTCTTGTATACCGAGATTTTACTGTTCACGCACCATCGAAGCAAACGTACATGTTCGTACCACCATCACATGCGGCGTCAAGCACCTACACATGTCTCCAAGCACCGACACATCCGGTGTCGGGGGCTTGGAGGCATTAAAAGTAATTCTCCTGGTTGGCGGTACGCAAGAAGAACAATACAATTGTAAGAGACCCGTGGAGATTGGCATGATGCATAAGTTGATTGCATACACAGTGCCAAAGATGCTTATATTGGCGAGGAACGTCTAGAGTACCATAATGCTTCATGGGGATCTTGGTGCGACTGGATAAGAACGACCCTCTAAAAGCTTAGATGATTTGAAGGGGCCAAACTGGCAATTTCCATAGCAACAGAGACGTATTAGCCAATTGCCTTGGAAGGATTTAGTCATATGTATATTTGTATTTCTTTGTGTTCGGCTAGCAGGCAGAGAAGGCGATGGCGCTACTTTACCAGGACCTAGTGATTTAAGCTGGTGGTGCTACGATCGCAGCGAATGGAAGCGTGCAACTTGTCGAGCATCCTCTGCGTGGCAGATAACCTCTAAAAGATAGGAGGTGCGAAGGGCCCCACGTACAGTTTTGCGTTTGAGTGCTTTTGACTGCGTTGCTTCGAGAAACAAAAGTGAGTCAGCGGCACGTCTGTGCTTCGTATAGGCGTGGAACCCAATTCAAGAAATAGGTCGGCACGCGACATAAGAAACAGGAATATGCTGGTTTCTCGCAGCCGTAAAGCAGTCGAAAGCACTCAAACGCTCTCAAACGTAACTGTGTGTAGAGGCTTTGAGACTCGTGAACGGAGGGCCACATCCTGTCAAGCGCGGCAGTAGTTGACGCGCGAATACCAGGTAATGCGGTGAGAAGCCGGTCGTAGCCTGACGCGCAGTTTTATAAGCACGGGCCAGTTATGAAGCGATAACATCCCAGTTTTAATAATTTTCGGGCAAATACATAGAAATCCTTTCCGACAGCGTATGATTAAGACGTTCCGTCAGTCCATTATTTTGGGGATGATATGCGCTGGTTAAATTGTGAATTGTGTTAGCCAGGCGAAAACGTTCAACCACACTGTTAGCGAAAATGTAATATTTCGCCTGTTTACACCCCATTTTCACTCGTTAGCATATTTTTACACGCTCTGCTAGTGATAAATCGTCAAAAAATTACTTGGGGTAGTAAAAATTGGTGTTTCGGTTTTGGTTTACACGACTAGGTGTGTAAGCAACACTGAAAACACCCCAGCCCAACACCCCAAAACGTCGAGCGCCATGTTGCTTCTGCCTTGAAGCGGTACGGCGGACGTAGCAGCCGAAGGTGAGTGTTTGATTTTTTTTATCAAGTTTGTATAGAATGTAGCACGTCTCAGATTTTTATTACATGACATTCAAGAACGTTAGATTTGCTTTGAGCAAGCCGGCTCAGGCGTTAAGCCCGATTCACACAACCGGCGTTTAGCCACCCCGTCGATTGGAAACGACTCGACTGCTCGCCGGTTCTTTTGCGCGAGCTTTCGCTCGGGCGCTGTGAACCCTATGAACTGCGGTGCTCAAAGCTAGCACAATTAGGCACGGCTAGCGTCCCGGTGGAAGCTGCAGAGAGCGGAAACCGAAGACACCGTCGCATAAGAGTGGCGATGCCGCGATCCTGCGCTGATCGTTGTCCCGCCGCTCTCTCCGGCAATATCGACACTTCGCTGCTGGGTGTCTCGTATTTCGACGTTTTAGAGAAACTTGGCATTGGCAAGCGTGAGGAGTCTCTATATCGTTTTCTCCGTCGCCTGCGTGGAGGAAACACGGTGGCGATAGAAACATATGCTCATGCAGTCAGTCAACTTGGACAATCCCCCTGTTCCCTCAATCCTATCGCATTCTTTGACTGCGTTTGTGACAACAACGTTTCCCCAGTGTGAAAGCTTTCAGTCACAACGGGCTACAAACTGGGTTGTGCATTGCATGTAGCCCCGAGGGAATTCTTCGCCGGAGACACCAGCACATTAGTTTCATTGGTAAGGTGACCGGCCACTAACGTGTTTGGCAAATGAAACGATCACGGGTAAGTAGAAATGCAAACAATGTTGAATGAATATTAAGGTGGTTGTAGCCAGAGCCTGCCAGTTGAAATCAACCTTTAACAATATAGTCTGCGGTAACTTCTTTTTGCACTTAGGATTGCAATTTTAAACACAAAGCCACTCCACATAGCTGTCGAAAATCGTGTAAACAACAGCAGTCATCGTCCCCGGTTCGGATGAGCGAAGCCTTAGCTTGATGAAAAGAATGGCGGTTTATACTTCTTGGTTGTTTCAATCACAACCTCGCACAGCTGAACAGACAAACAAATCAAGGAAATATATCCCGCGCTGGCTTGCAAATCACAGCACACAAGCAGGGTACATAGCAGAGCAGAAAACACTGGCATTGAGCACACGGAGGCATGCAGCTTCCTTTCTTTTTCCCTCGGCGAATGATTGGTTTGCTGCAGCATTCCGTAAGCACGTCGACATTCAAAAGTTGAGCCTGATCTGTCTTGCAGTGCCTTGCGGAACGGCAAGTATCGCCCACCATTCCACAAGGCACTGCAGGACTCGCAAATGTGTGAACAGTGCTTTGCAATAAAGGCCATGATCGGGCAGCAGGTGCCCATCTAAAGACATTTAATATTGATTGGCATTGAACTAACCTTTGGGCTTCATCACTTAGCAAGCATGGGTGAGGTATAATTCAAGAACATTTAATGTTCGACGAGTTTAATACGTTGTGGTGCTTTCCCATCTGTTTCGGTGTCACGGAGTGGGGTTCAAATTAATAAAAATAATTCAATGATCCACTCTGAGAATAAACGAGAAATTACGGGAAAAGAACAAGAGAGCTAAGTTCGACCATTGACTAGCGCTAGGTCCACGCCTGGTGTATAATCAGTAGAGAAAGATGATGACACAGGGAGGATAAGCAAACAAAAAATTAGATTTAATAAAGTGAAAAACTAAGCTGTACACGGCAATAGAGCACTCAACACAAACCACACTCCAGCTCAAAGCTATGGAACCCTGCGAGCCAGAAACTAATACTAAAAAGACTCGACGCTCATAAAACCGGAATAAGCCAACAAAACAGTGACGAAAACCCGACACTAACAACGAGAGCAAACCGAGATGGAGCTCGAACGTTACCGCTACACACATGGGATAATCCCCCAAAACAGTCGCGACAGAAAGTAGCACTGTGTAAAAATCTTCCCAACATTCAACAATTCGTACTTCAGAGCCAGAGAATGCAGTAGACAAGTCCTAGAAAACCAGGCTTAGCTTTCCGGTAGGTGCCGAGTCCAGAGCAGTCCATAGTCTGGAGTTGTCGGCCGAAGAACGGCGTCTCGAAGTCCAGCGGTCCAATTAGAGGCTTGATGAGGTCGACACCGCGCACCACACAGCCACACACGCTTCAGCACAACAAACTCAAACACTTGTCCGACAGGCAGGGCAGAAGCCAAAAATTACACGTTCCAAAACTCATCTGCAGGGAGTAACCGCGTTGAGTAGCGAACCGGCCAGCTCTGGGGTTGGACTACCTTCTTTGTTCCCGAACCCCCTTTTATAGGCTCGTCTACCGACCAACCTCCCGTTTCCCCCCCCCCCCCCCCCCCCCCCGCCTTTCGGGTCAGTCAACTTTCAAGAAAAACAAAACTACACAGCAACGACCCAAATGGCAAAACCTATTACATTTTTCAGACAACCAAACATATGTGCCCATCCATTCCCCCGTACGAGTCCAAAAACATCAATTATCGCCGATACATAGAACACGACAGGCGGCAGACTGAGCAAAGCCGCCGCCTTCAAAAAGCGCGCTAGCCAGCGTAAACATCTTTGTATCCCGGCGGCGCCCCTGCATGTCAAATCGGCACCATACGCGAGCCAGCATACGCACCCCTCCGTCCGCGAGGTCAAAGCCACAAACTGTGACCTGGGATGATCTACGTCGCCCGTTAACAAAAACCCATTCCGCAAACGAGCAAATTCGTTGGGGACTTAGAAAGGAACTACGACGGGACGAACTGAGATTAAAAGTGGCACCACACTCCCCCTTTTTGACCGTACCAACACTTAAAGTGGTCCAAAAAAAAGATCATAAAAGTATTTAAAAAAAT